AAGATTACAAGTAATTATGCATAAGTACAACTTATTAAAGCTCGATGTTTGAATTCGTATAAATAACTGCGGATAAACATAATCAAATAGATGATGAATATCTCATTTTGAAATATAAAAAATCTAAAATATAATTAGAATAATTATCGAGTTCCAACAAAATAAATAATTATTATCTTTATAAAAAATTATATTATTAAACCAAATATAAATTACATTGTTATTGTATATAAATTAAATTATAAAAAAATTGGATTTAAAAATTACACAAAAAAAGAAATTTCAAATAGTTAATTCGATACTAATATCGATATATTTTTGTCAAATTTTTATGATATCTTCAAACATATATTTTATTCAAAAATAAAAGCATCATCGTTTTCTCAAAATCACATAAAGTCATATTATAACATCGACTGAGATAAAAAATAAAATAAAATATTAAAAACACGATGTATCTCGCTGCATTGCGCGAGTACGCTTCTAGTATTATATAATACAATTAAAATAAACAACTAATTAAATATGTTAATATTTATTAATGTTCTATTTATAAAATAAAAATTTGAATATTGTTTTATTTGGTAAATAACAAGTGATTTAAATATAATTAATAATCTAATAAAAAATTATTTAAATATATTGAAGGTATCGTTGATAAAAAAAATCCTAATTTATATAAAATTTTATTAAACCAACTTATTAATAGAAAATTTATTTAAGCATGCTTTTTGGAAAGATAAATTGTATGAAAAAATAACGTACTTTAACTTGATTCATATTTTGGATGACGTACTTTCAAAACTTATATTTTAATACCTAAGACGTAAAATTTTAAACATTTAAGTACTCATGTAAACGGTTGAAACATTAAATCTTTCATATAATAAACCACAATACACAAAAACTAATTTTAGAGTAAGATATTCGTGTCAGCAAATGATACTGAGTTGGATATCACATCACTCGTCATATCAACCGGTTACTCGAGTACTTAAATGTTTAAAACTTTACATCTTAGATACCAAAATGAAGATTCTAAAAATACATTACACAAAATAAAAATTAAATTAAAATACGTTACTTTTTTATGCAATTTGTTTTTTCTTAAATATATTTTAATTTACTTTACCGTGTTATATGGATCAAATAAATATTTAATTCATTGATCCACAATTTTCTTTGATAAAAAATATAATGAAATATTAAAATGGAATTGATTCCGTATTTATTATGTATATTTATATGTTTTATTTTAATAAAAATATCAGGAATATTTTAAAAAAGCATATACCACGTGATTCGTTCGTGACACATAACCCTACATCAAACCGTGGTTAAATTGACCTAACTGTAGTAACACCCACAACACCGTAAGATGGCAACACGTGTCATTTTCTACGGCTATGATAAGTCTCTTGTAGATAATTGATCGTCACCAACCGCTATATAAACCACGACGACCCGTTCAATTCCTTAAACCTAAGTCTTTTTTCAACCAGTGTGCTGTGAAAATTGTTATTCAGAAATGGGAAACCCTACTGTTTTCTTCGACATGACCGTCGGCGGTGCAAAGGTCGGGAAGATCGTGATGGAGCTGTACGCTGACACCACTCCGAGAACCGCCGAGAACTTCCGTGCTCTTTGCACCGGCGAGAAGGGAGTAGGTAGTTCCGGCAAGCCGTTGCATTTCAAGGGATCATCCTTCCATCGTGTGATCCCGAATTTCATGTGCCAGGGAGGAGATTTCACCAGAGGAAATGGAACCGGTGGTGAATCGATCTACGGCAGCAAGTTTAAAGATGAGAATTTCATTAAGAAGCACACCGGTCCTGGAATCCTGTCCATGGCTAACGCCGGTCCAAACACCAACGGCTCGCAGTTTTTCATTTGCACTGCCAAGACCGAGTGGCTCGACGGCAAGCACGTCGTGTTCGGGAAGGTTATTGAAGGTATGGACGTCGTTAAGACGATCGAGAAGGTCGGATCTGGCAGCGGAACCACCTCGAAGCCTGTAGTTATTTGCGATTGCGGTCAACTGTCTTAGATCTATATCCTGATCTTCGAATTTTAGCTTACAGTTCTCCTTTAATCGTGTTGCTCGCCGGTCTACTAGAGCTTTTTTACTGATTGTGTGTGGTTTCAACTGTATTTAGTTGATTTCATCAGAGACTTTTGTTGATGAAATTAACTACCAAGCTATCCGTATGAAATAAGATTAGATTTAGTGGTCTCAACTTCAAATAACCTCGTAATTTCTTCATTCTTCTCTGAGTTCTGCTCTTATTTAGATTGTCGATCGAAATAGACTCCATTTTCCTTGTTTTAGATATCCGATCTTAATTGGATATTTGATTTGGTTTGTTTGTTATAGAAAAATATCGGTAGTTTGGATGTGGCGAAAAAGTCACGGGTATAGGGTTAGCCTTTTGGCATGTGCTTGGTGACCTTTGTCTGCTTGCTTCTAGATCTTTCCGCTTGCTATGCGTTATCCACTTGACTTGTACGGTACAATCAATTATTGCATAGATGCCGACTAGTATATTATTCTCGGGTAATTGTTTATCAGGTAATTTTTGTCACCGATGAACATGGTAAATGTTGAAAATCTTACTCGCTAAGCAGATGTGTTCATGGGTTGGGTTGATCGGGTCGAAGACATTTGAACAACCCAATCTAATGTTTGTGGTTTGAAAAATCTTAATCCAACCCGAACCAAAGTGCAACTCAATGATCGGATTGGTGGGGTTGGTACTTTAGTACATTAAAATACTCTTCTAACCTAGAATATGTTATTTCTCTCCTCATAATTTCTTTTTTATCATCAACTATTTGATACAACTTATTTATATTCTTACATATATCACTTTTACTGGATATGAAGAGCATATGTTCATAGTTATTGAGTATATATACGAATGAGGAATAAATTTAAAATATGTATATATGAGGAGCATACATGATACTATAATTGTCTAATGTATATATTAATTGAAATTTAACAATCATATTAAATCCAAGAAATAAAAGAATTTCATATTGATCGGGTTGGGTTGAGTTTAAATAATTGTAACTCAATATCAACCCAATACTTATAGCTTGACAATTTTACAACTCAATTAGACATCGGGTTGTTTCGGGTTGAGTTATTTCGTGTTGGGTTGGGTTGGTCGGGTTTTTGAGCACCCTTATCGGTAAGAGCGATGATGAGGATGCGAAATTTTACCTGGTAAGTGATGGTGACGAGTCTTACCCGAGTAAGCGTTTACGGGGTAATTTGTTGCATATAATACCATTTTAATCTACTACAATCTTACCTGGTAAAATAGATTATAATGTTGATTCCTACTGGTAAACGCTTACCGGGTAAGTATTTGAGTAAACAACCTCTAAACTAGTAGGAGGTTATTTGAGCTCGGTTTGAAAAATACCGGATTCAAGCTTTACTTGAGCTTGAACGACTTTTTTTTATATCTTTGTAGGGCTTGAGCTTTAATTTTTTTTTTAAGTTATCAAGCTTGATGTTTGTTTATGAGCGTGAACTTGATCAATTAACTTGTTATTGGCTCGAGGTTGACGACTTTATTGTATGATTTACAAACATGTTTGGCTCGAAATAGCGTATGCTCGAATGGTTTGACTCTACTCGGAAAATTGATCAATTTTTTTTAAATGAGCCGAATTGAACGTTGGTGTTGTGAAACTCGGCTTGTTAAATATAAAGGAGTTCTAATTTATACTTGACATAGTTCGAGAATTATCGAGCTCGAGTAGCTCATTAAAAGAACTTGTTTAAATCTATAGACTAAGGGTGCTCATGGGTTGGGTTGATCGGATTGAAGACATTTAAACAACCCAACCCAATGCTTGCGGTTTGAAAAATCTTAACCTAACCCAAACCAAAGTGCAACCCAACCCAACCCATACGGGTTGGTTACTTTGATACATTAAAATAATTTTCTAACCTTAAATATGTTATTCTCTACTCATAATTTCTTTTTCATCATCACCTATTTGATACAACTTATCCATACTTTTTACGTATATCACATTCAGTTAATTTTCTCAATTTACATATATATGTTCACAGTTACCGAACATATATACGAATTAGTTATATAGAGATGTGAATATGAAGAACATACATTCTAGTGTAATTGTCTAATGTATATGTTAATAAAAATTCAATAATCATATTAAATCCAAGAAATAAAAAGATATCGGGTTTATCGAGTTGGGTTCAAATAACAGTAATTCAATACCTACGGTTTGACAATTTTACAACTCGATTAGACATCAAATTGCTTCAAGTTGAGTTATTTCGTGTTTGGTTGGGTTGGGTTGATCGGATTGATGAAGTTGGTCGGGTTTTTGAACACCCCTACTGTAGACCATACTTAGAGCTATACTAAACTGAAAAGAGACGGATTTTAGCATTTCTTTTGCTTCAACAATTATGTTATCTTGTATGTTTTAAGATAAAGGAAACAGTATTAGAAATTACACTTCTCGTCCCTATGGTTTACTAAAAATTGCAATTTTCATCCTTATGGTTTAGAAATTGTGGTTTCATCTTTATAGTATGTAAACAATTGTAATTTTCATCCTTATGATTTATAATTTATTATTGTTTCAGTCATTGTGATTTATAATTTTTTACTATTTTGATCCCTTGTACTTAAAAAGTTAAGAATTAGTTTAGGAACGAAAATAACAATAAATTACAAACCGTAGGTGTGAAAACTGTAACTTTTAAACCATATGGATGAAAATCGAAATTTTTAACAACCTATAGGGATAAAAAATGTAATTTACTCTTATTATTTTGATATTTCCCGCCGATAGTAATATTTTATTAGATGAATTAATACAACAGCTGAACGGTTTAGTAGAAACCGCGAATGTAAGAAAAACATAGAAGTCGAGCATAAAGGATTTACTATTAGAGAGCTCGGTTGTGAAAGGAAACGATTAGAGTTTCCCCGATTACGCAAGATATCGACGACATTTACGTTTCGAATATCGAGCTGCATTCGAGCTCGCATATAAGTTCAATGATTCTAGCACATTTCAGCCCAGTTTTGCATCTCACGCACATATGGAAACAGACTGTCCTCCGACAAGTCTAATTTACATCAACTATGAAATCACTTATAAACCCGTATTGGTTTCATTTTTCCACCAATGTGGGACAAGCCCACTTCCATTTCTCGCATTCCAACATCTATCCTCTGCCGACTACTTTGACAACTAATTTCTCATTCATATCAACTCCATTTTATACATGCAATATGTCGAGTCGAATCGAAGCTTTGACCAAGGACTACGTAAACCCATTAATATCTATCTATCCCGATCATGGTTCAAGTATATTTTGGGTCAAAATCAGGTATAAACCCAATATTTCCAACAGTTCTTTTTGCTTGTTTCTATTTTTTTGTCAGATGTTTCTTACTGTTTCCAAAATATACGGTTACAAGTGCATATGGGTTGTGTACGTATGCGGGTTTCTCTAGATGCTTAATGTCTTCAGACAGAAAGTATGCGGAATAAGTCACTCATAAAGTCGATCCAACTTTTAGCCCTATTTGAGAATTTACGAATCAAACGGTCTCTTTTATAAACAATTCCAAACAAGAACGTTGATTTTATGCAAGAGAACAAAAGGAATAAATGTGTCTTTACTAAAAGCGACTTTAAAAAAATACTCATTTCAACGAAATAAAAGCGACTTCTTTTTTATAAATGGGATTTTAGCATTAATTATATTATTAAATTATTTAATATATTTAATATCTCAAGAAACTTAGGGCCCGTTTATCAAACACTTACCTAGGTAAGTGCTTACCAAGTCACATTACCTTAACGGATGAATATGACAAGGATCAAGAATCTTACCGGTAAGTGAGAATGATGACTCTTACCACGGTCAACACTTAATTACCGGTAAATTGTAGCATATAATGCCATTTTGGTGGACTAAAAATCTTGTCTGACAAGTAAATGATAGTGTTGAATTTTACCAATAAGCACTTACCAGGTAAGTATTTGGAAAACGGCCTCTTAATTCATATTTTGGAAAACGACCTCTTAATTCATATTTTTCTTTAATATTTTTATTATTAATTATTTAAAAAATAATTTTTGTAACTCTTCGTCATCTTCTATGCATCGTCGACCACCACCGTCACTATCTATTTAGCCACCGACCGTCACTATCTATTTAGCCACCGACCGTCACCACCCTCAGCTTATTGGCCGACAACCACGACCCACCACCACAATTCCGAACACTATAAAGATTAACAGCATAAAAAATAGCAAAACCACCAACCATCCAACAAAATCATTCGAATTATTTAAAAAATAAATTCAACGGTTGATTTTAGAGAGTTATTTTAATTTGAAGATTTCCAACATCTCTCTCTTATTAGGGAAGGTAGTTTGATCCATCCCAAATGTCTACCCGATTTCCCAACCTGCTACGAACGAGATCCCCCCCCCCCATAACCGGGTCTCGTGTCCAGGGACAGGGAAATACTATTTTCACTCATCGGAATTGGGACGAGAACAAGGGTAGTGCCTGATTGGTTTGAACTTGGCTCCAAAGGTCAAAAGTATTAGAAGGTCTCAGGTTCAAATCCAAGGAGGAATAAAAATCCCCTTGTGGCCACGGAGGTTCAAATGCGGTGACTCCGAGTTATCTGGAAAACAGGTGGTCGTCCTGGGATTAGTCGGCTCGCATAGCGGTTGGATATCCAGGTTAATAAAAAAAAATGGGGACGAGAACAATATATGTGTGTTTTTTGCATCAACTCAAACCACTGATTTTGCTTCATAAGTTATGCACAACGTTGGTCACTGATTTTGCTTCATAAGTTATGCACAACCTTGGTCACTGATCTCTTTCTAATCATTTTCGTTGGTTTGCTTATCAATTTAGGGACCATTCAGTAGATGTTGTCTTGTTGAATGATTTGGTGTAGAATGAATTACAAGCTCTGCACTATTTAGTGCAGAATGAGAAACAATTGTTTATCAGATATCTTAAATGATATAAAATTGTCATTTTAACCCATTAGGAAATTGTTTGATAAGTATTCTAACTTTGCAAAATTATTTACAGAAAAAGATAAGAGTAAGTTACATTCTTGGTCCTCTATGGTTTATGTGTTTTAAGACTCTGGATTCCTATTTTAAAATATCTATGGATTGCATATTTGTGGTTTGCATTTTATAAAGTATTGGGTCCCTAAATCTAACTCCATCCAAAAACTTGCAGTTAACTCAATTAATTTAGAAGGGTATTTTTGTCATTTAATTTATTATT